AGGCACTGGAACAGGCTGCCCAGGGAGGTGGTGGAGTCTCCATCCCTGGAGGTGTTCAAAAAACATGTAGCTATTGCACTTTGGGACATGGTTTTGAAGGCATGGTGGTGATGGGTTGACGGTTGGACTTGATGATCTTAGGGGTCTTTTCCAACCTTAATGATTCTATGATTCTATGTTTTTTCCACATTTGTTAGGTGGATGTGGCTATACAGTAATAAAAATCAGTACTGTGGTGACACCTTGTGACCAGTCTCCTCAATTACACAGACAATTGCTTGTCCAGTTACTGATGTTCTAATTAGACCTACAGGAAGACCTAAAGCTTTGATCCAAACTTCTGTATTCCCCATACTTGCTTCCCTTAGAGGCTATCTTATAAACAACATCAGCCTGGCAAACATCACCTTACACATTCATATAAATATTTCCACGATGGCTTTGAACTGATATGTACTGTAACTTCAAGCAGCATTCTTCACATTGCTGATAATTTTAGACAGAGTAGCCATTTTCCAGGATCAGGCCCTAAAGAAAAATTCTAAAGGAGTTTTTGTTTTGTTTTTTTTTAATAAACCAAAACATCAAAACATTCTTCTTCAAAAGGGCAGTCCTCTAAACCATGGGAAATGCAAAGAACCCTAACGCCATCGAAGACCTAATAATTAATAACCATATGCAAGTAAAAATGATTGATCCAAGTCTTAGCCACAGCACTGACGATAACCATCCTCCCAGAGCCAAAGCTCAGCAGGGTCAGGAAAATCTTCTCAGCCCAAAGAAAATCTACAACACCGCTCATTCATTAGTTGACCTTTTTTGAATGAGTACTAACGATGTGCTCTGCACTGGGAGAGAAGGTGGAATGTCAGCACAAATTGTGTATCTGGGACCAGAAAAACGTATTGCTTTTGCAGACTGTAAAAGTGAAGGAGAGCTGAGCAAGAATGGAACGGCAAGGCTACACAGCAGCCATGCCCCCTACTGACAAGGTCTGCTTTGTTCTCCTCTTCGTCCTCCCTGACAGCTAAGGAGCAAGAGGGGAGGCACAGCAGGGGCAGGGGTACCAACTGGCATGCACGGAAGACTGTTTAAGGGGGTACAGGACGAATGGGAAGAACATAATGGGAACAAGATGACAGAGAAAGGTGGAGACATTTCCCTCATTCTTGAAACTCTTACTAACCGGTTGTTACAAGTAACAAAGAAATTTAGCTAGACAACTTCAAGCCTCATTACCCCCTACCTCCTGCAGTACTAACCCAAACCATTCTATGATTCGAATGCTGTGGACAAAACACTGGGTTTTTTTTCCCTGCACTGTTTGTGCAACTGAAGTGCTTCTCTGGTCTACGCCAAGGAAGCTGCATTTTACGTGTTTTGTCAAAACAGACAAACCGTGGTGATGAACTCTGGCTACAGAGGAAAAAAGAAAACAAACCACAACAAAGCAACAAAAGCACTACATGCTAAAAGACGGTCATTGTTAATTTGTTTAATTTACACATCCTGAGGACACAACTGTTGGCAAGGTATATGAAAAATATTAACCGCAATTGTAAAGATGAAATTTAATTACATATCATTTTCTTGGCAAAAACTTACTAGCTTTACAGGAAGAGCTGTGTGCAAGGTACTCATCTTGAAGACTGTTTTGAACAAGTAGAAGTATCTAATATTTGAAAATACTTACTACATTTCCCCAGTTAATGTAAAAACAGAACTCCTGACTGTTCATTGTTTCTTCATGATTAATGGCCAAATTATCCTCAGCTTTTACATCTACGAAGCGAGTTCCTTACTCCTTTCTTTATCAAAAGATCTGAATCCTTAATCCATACACCTACACTCCAAACTTCCACTAACCCTCATTACCAACTACAGAGAAAGGCAGTTATATGTCCAGGATGCAGTCCTGATTTACTTCAGGGTCATCAGATGGCAATTCTTCCACAGAGCTGAGATGTCCTCTGACACCTCCATCTAGGTCCTTTCTGTACCAAGTTAAGTCAAAAGCAACAGGTACTTATATTTTATTAAAGGCTACAATGAACAAAAGACTACCCAAGAGGACAGACTAATTAACTTCTTTTCATACTTTCTCCCAAAAAAACCTTACAGTATAATCTCTAATGATGCCACACAATTATATAATCATTATATAATTTACTGAGGCAGGAAAAAGCAAATACATTACGTCCAAGGCTTACCACTAAGCAGTTCAATCCAATTTTGTACTGTTTCAGGAGGCTGGGTCTCTTTTATATGTTTCAGAGCTTCATCAAGCAGAACATCCCCTGTAGGAGCATCTGACTTGCAAATCACCTAGGACAGAATAAAATGCAGTCAGTATTTTGACTTCATTCATATACCATAAACATCCACCAAAAAAAACCTGGAGAAGTCTACCTGTTATCAAAATCAAGGAAAGGAAATTAAAAAAAAAAGGAACCATCTCTAAGAATACACAAGTTTAAAAAAGTACCTAACTGTTAAAAAAAAAAACCAACTCGGATTTTAATTGCAAAGCTAGGTTAAGTCTTAGGTTATCTAAAACTTAAGTTAACCTTAATTGACTAAAACTACAGTATTAAAAACATGCTTAATAACTAATTTTTTAAGGAAGATAATCCACTAACCTGACCAGGTCCTTTGCTTCCTCCCCAAAACAAAGTGTACTACAGTGTTAAATTACTCTCTGATGGCAGACTATTTTACTGCTTCAGGTCAATTTATTCAAAATACTGCAGGTAAACAATTAGGCCAGGTGAAATTGAGAAATAAGTTACCAACTGAAAAAGCAGGAAAATTGGTTTTCTTCTTCCGTATATTGATAGATAAAAATAGGTTCAAGACACAATCTGTAAGTTTTACAGCCCTGAAGAACACATTGACCAGCAGCACTATGTTCCATTCACTAACAGTTAAAACAAATGTATTATGCACAATACATACATACTAATAAACCCATTAATATGCAATAATAAATGCAATAGAATTATAAGACTGTTATTTAATAACTTCTCAAATTGAGTTCTTCCCTCAACAGAGCACAGGACAACAACAACAAAAATCCTTCAGTGACAATAAAATTTAAGAAATTGAGTAATTGCTTGTTCACAAGTAGTTACATAAACCATGTACAAATACAAATTTTTCTGGTAGGAAAACATGAGCACCAAATGAAAACATACAGACTGAACTATCCCAAGTCAATACAATTTAATAAAAACAAATCAACAGTAACACCTATCTTTCCTTAGCAAAAGAATTACTACAGTTTCAAAGCTAGTTATTAAAATAATGATTAGATCTGGCAATTTATATAGTTTTACAAGATGGCACTTTATAAGCATCAGGTAAAAAGATAACAGGCAATTGACAGAAAATCTAACACATCAATACAATTCCACACATACAAGAGAAGGAGGAAGTGAAAGCTCTTATTTTTTGTAATGCTTTGCAGTAGTCAGAAAAGTGTCCTGGAAAAGCTTTAAGTGTCCTATTGAAATACATCCCAAGTTTAGTTGTGTTCCATAGTTCTAACAACCCTTACTACAAAGACAGAGGAGTACAACACTGAAAGGAGTTGCAATGGTAAGACAGCTTCAATACCAGCAAGATGATCCCAAACTGGAGATATGTGCAAAGTCAGTGAGACGAAATCAAAAGGAAAATTGCTGGAGAGATCTTTGTGAACACCTAACCGGTCACAGCTGGAACACTATTTCCAATTTAGATAGTATACATAAAGCACAGAAATGAAGATTTTCAATTAAAAAAAATCAGCAAGAATGAACCAGTCCGCAATGCCAGGCTAAACAGAACAAAGTTTGTTTAGATCTAACAAGAAAGCATTTCAGACATTTTTACAAAGAGGGTATCAAATAGTAATTTTGGGTGCCTACTTTGGGAAAAATAAAGGACAACAGCTTATTCTGGAAATATGGAAGATGCAGGAAGTATTTCAAAAACTTCAACAGGCAAATTAAACACCCAGGGAGCTGCTGAATTGCCTTCAGTGGAGAATTTTAAGACTAAACATCTACCAGGGAGGGACCAGAGAAACCTCATTATCTGTTACTGCATCAGATTAAATGGTCTCTGGAGATATTGTCCAGGTCTCCATTTTGAGGAGGTGGAGATCACTCCAACGATAAACCTGGGATATTTGGTTTCAAGAACACAACTACATTTTAATCCAGACAATCCCTATTTGAAACTAAACACACAACAATGCATACTTATCTTTGATTTACAAGCTTGCACCACAGCATCACTCAAAACCTCTACTAGCCACATGTAATGATATTACCCATGTTTCAGTTCTGTATCAAGATTCTGAATATTTTGGAAGTTTGTGTTCTTAAATTATACAGAGGCGTACTTCAGCTTGGATTTTTAAACTGCTAGATTGCAGCTATAAAGAACCAACTTTCAGCTATTCCTTTAGTAATTAGCCTAAACCCACCCAATTTATTTATCTTTGCTTTTTAAAACTGATGTTCCAGCAGTATTTTAATTTCTTTGAAGTGTCTTATATAATTAGTTGCACAGCAGCCTTAGTTACACTGGATCGCTCCAGCCTGCTGCATTTGGTAACCTACTACTAACCATCCCACTTACACAGGCAATATATGAAGTCATCTTTTTAGCCTGTTTAATTATTAACAAACTCCAAAACAAACAAAACAAACCTCACTGAAGAAATAAAAAATGCTTTCAAGTCTAGGATATACATAAGGTGGGTTTTTTTTAAAGTTTAGAAAACACCTCTCCCTGCTTATTTAGGGTTCTACCACTGCAAAGAAGTTTAAGAAGCTAGCCACGATATAATGCACCACCACAGTATGAGCCTAAAAACATACAAGCGTTTAGAGCAAAGAGCTGTAAGGAGCACAGACCCCCCCACTCAGCTTGGGACTCCAGTCAGGACTCCATAAGCTGTTGTGAAGCCACAATGCACAGCGATTTTGTTTCCTAGTTTACTGTGCTCTGCAGCCAGGCATACAGCACTGTTTCTTCTCAGTTCACTGTTACACTGAATATTGACTGCACAGATACTTCTGTTTGTCCTTCCCCTCAAACCAAAGTATTTTAGTTCACACTTCCATCATCAAGACAGACAACAGCACAAGCCCAGCTACCTCTCCTATCTTCATGTATCTGCACTTTTCTTGAAAGATTTGTTGATGAATGCTTCTCGGCTCTCTTCAGTCATAACACCATAAGAAGAGTGGGAAATTGAGTGGGTTGGGGATCTTGTAAATTGAATCATCACAGAAGAAAGGGGAATTTTTTTTCCCCCCTCTAAGAGAGGAGCTAAGATAAAGAAAGAAGCTAAGGTCTCGATTCTTCAGAGATGATGGTCCTTAGCCTTACTGAAAAAGTTATTTCTTTATTCCAATTTTTCAGTGATTTATCAGGTACTAGATTTGCCTTGTCTCCAACTGCTGAGGAAATTTCAATTATACAGAAAATTTAATTTGCATTTTCCACAAAGCAGCTTTGCAATTAAGCAATGCTAAAGATTAAGCACTTGTGTTGATTTTTAAGTAAATGTCCTTACTTAGTTTTAATACAAAAATTCACTCATGCATGTATCAACTCAGAGTTGTCAGCTGTAAAATACTGATGCTAATCTGCCAATGACTCCTTGGCATTTCTTTTGTTCTTAAAAACTGTAATGATTTGGTTTGCTTTCTGAAACTGTAAAGCAGCACAGAGTACCATTTTCTATCTTCAGTAACCCCCAGTCTTATAAATTACTTGATTTACGTATCCACCTCAACTTTATTTCTTTGTAAAATTGATACCAGTAGATAGAACTCCAAAATGATGCCATGATTACATACTCTTAAGCCAAATTTACAGTGATGTTGCAACATAAAACAAGTCATATTAACTTTCAAAGTTTCACTAATGTCCATCAAGTCCTTGTCTGCCAGTTTCTCAGTCTCATTTGTCTCTATGGCATTCAACCTTGGACTTAATCCATCTTGCTTCACTTTGAAGATCTGTTTTAGAAACTGCAAAAAATTATCATCAAAGATCCACCTGATTTAAGGCTTGGAAATTATTGTAGCTAGTAATCTTTTAAGTCAGCTGTATGACCAAGGCTGGTTATAAATCCATACTAGTGCTCAAAGAACTAGTTCTATCCTCTTCTTGTTCTCACCTTATTGCTTGTGCCAGCAGTCTCACTTGTGCCTCAACTGATGACAAGATCAAGAAAGTGATTAAAGTGAAAACTAAACTGATCAAAGAAGTGAATTAGTTATCAGCCAGAGCGGTTACTTGAGGAGGCTGCACAAATACTAGTAACCCAAGATAGACTACAATAAGCCTATTCGCAGAGACAGGACTACCCTTCTCAGCAGCAACACAGGCTAAAGTGACTGAAGCCTAAACTCGTCCCTTCAGACCACAGCTTGGAGATACAAAGTATTGATTCACAAATCAAAGCTTTGAGTTTTACGGAGGTTTTGCCTTCCCACAACATCCAAGGATGGACCTGTGGCAAGGAAGAAGGACTGAGAGGCAGAAGCCATAGAAAATGGTATTGCCACTAATTACAACCCTGGATGCAACTAGACAGCTCACTCCACTCCCTAAGCACAGTAAGTAATTTACAGTGAAAGTCAGAGGCAAGGGGAGCAAAGCCTGCAAAAGGGGGACAAGGAGGACACCCAATAGAGTTGAGACACTTAAATCTAGCTAACACAGAAACAAGAGTGAAATTTGGTGTTCATGCAAAACTTCCAATAAGGTACAAAACAACACAAGTCACTTCTGAGAATTGAGAGAGGCACAGGGGGAGAAGAAACCTCACATATATCAGCAGTTATGGATTTTATTTGCAAGAAATTATGCAGAAACCAATCTTCACTTGAATTTTACATTAAAGCCTTTTCCATAGAACCCTCCTGCCTGCAAAAAGAAATCTCTCTATTGCCTTACAATAACAGAAAGCACAAAACCTTTAGCACTGGGCAGCTTTTCAATTCCTTAAAAAAGGCAGGGGGGAGAATAAAAAAAAACCAGACAAATCCACTCACAAAACCACACAATAAAATTTAACCAAAAAACCCCAAAAGCCAACAATAATATTGCTTGTGCTCTTTACTGAAAAAAAGACACAGGTTATTTCTCCATTTTCCTAAAAAAAAAAAAAAGCCTTTGTTACAATTTCAGGTAGATACAGCTGACAAGGTTTGCATAGAACGAAAAAAACTGCTAGAGAACATTCCTGAATGCCTGAGAAGCCAAAAGCTTTGGAAGGGAAAAAAAAAAAACAACCACCACATACAAACTAATCAATGCTGAATATGCTTAAATAAAGCAAAAAGAAGTAGTAGCTGTTTGTCTGAACAGAGGTTCAATTCTTCAGATGAGGAGGAAGCTGGGAGAAGGTTGGGGAATTTGTAAGTTTTCCTTTAAAAAATTTAGCAAAAGATAATATTGACAGGGAACTGTGCCATAAAAGAGAATTTATTTGTGGTGGATAAACAACATTTGACCACACTTTTAATAAGCTTATTTTACAAGTATCCTGTAATGCTGATGAAGTAAAAAATCTTCAAACAGTGTGACTGCGCATATTTAGTGCTAAGCGAAAATACAGCAGCAAACGTAATAAATTAAGGCCTCAAATCTTCAGCCTGCTTTAATCACGGACCTTAAAAATTTGCCCATCTTAGAGGCCAGTGAGTACAAGGCATTTAAGACACCAACACATGCTTGAGGTAGATACAGTTTTGTGTTCCCAGGGGCACAAGGTACAAGGGTCATTTTCCTTCCTATGCATTGCAAACACAAACTGCAACACTGTGTACACTGAATTAAACCGGTGGCTTGCAGGATACATCTGGCAGGCTGTCAGTTAGCCATTCCTTTCAGCCCCAGCACACATGTCACCAACGTTGCAAAAGCCAGTTCTTTCAGCAGGCTGCAACTGGTGCTATTGGCTCTTGGCAGTAACTGCTGCCACCGAACCCCGGCCAGAGCCACTGCCAGTTGTTTGTGTAAGGTTCCCAACGGCAGCAGGAACACGTCAAGAGAACAAACAGTAGCAGAAAACAAATACAGTAGATTTTCCAAGGCACTTCAGCTCATGATTTAAACACTTTTAACTGTGTGCATCTAATTTAGGTCACTATTCAGAATCCCTATCCCCATGCAAAGAAAAAGAAAAGTCTTTTTCTTGCAACCAGCTGTAAATTATAGCTACTGTATTGCCTGGAGCATACATTACAAAAGTAAATACGACCATTTTCCTCCATTTACCTTTCTCGTTAATAGACTCTTGCGCCTCATTCCACAAGCCTCAAGCTGAAGACGTCCTCGCAATGCCAATTCGATTAACATGCAGCCACGCAGTCCTGAGGAGATGCAATCATTCCAGAATGATGTGTAACCCTGTGAAGAATGAAAGATAGTAAGATCTCTCCATCTCCACCTGAAAACAAACAGAAAGAGGCTTACTGCATTCTCTAAGCAGTTCTCCTGCCCTCATGCACTCTTGAAGTAGCATCACTAGTCCACTAACATTTGTGTACTGAAAACAGGAAAGAGAAACAGACTCACCCCCTATTAACTTTGACACTTACATCTCTCCTCTTTGAAGAACAGGGAAATGTCAAGAAAGTGATACAAAACAAAACAGCAAGACACCAAGAACTGTGGTGTTCTTGGTACACTGATACACAGTGTAGTTTCTATGTAGCCAACATAAGCTTACTACATTTTAAGACACGAAGCATTTGGCATTACTGACATCACGCAGGCTTATCCGAGTTATCTGAGAAATACTACATGATTTTATATATACAAACAACGTGGCATTGATAAAGTATTAATAACCTGAAACTTGATATTAAGTAAAATATACAGTATACTAGAAACACAAATGTGGCAATCAGCACCGAAGGACAAAAGTTTAAGTAAATATTTGGAATAGCTACTATTTTGTCATATAAATCCTTCAAAAATACGTATTTTTAAAGCCTGATGCATATTGTTCTTACATGGACTGCAAAACTGCAAACCACATTTATTCTATGAACCACACCACATCTACTATGCTTTTTCATCTGTATTTCTGCACTGATAGCTGTCTGCTAAAATGACAGAACAATGTTTGACCACACACATTTACTCAATATCTAGAAATACATGTATTGATTTTTGTACTCTATTGCTCAACAATTATGACAGAAAAAAATCTTATAAAAAGGATTCTATTTTACCTACAGAGTAGCTAACACAGTTCTTGCATATTTTTAAGTATCTAACACAAAACAAAATCCTTCTGTGACATGTTTTCTTTTCTGAGAAATGACTGCAGAAACACTTAGTACGATTCACAAAGACGTTTCCAAAACTCCTCTGGTGATGCATGTCTGAAAATACCCACTTTGGGACACTTTAGAGAAAAGTGCTGGAAACAAGGAAAAAAAAAAAAAAGAAAACAGAAAATTCCCTTTAATAAAATTTATCTTAATAACAAAGACTAGCTTATATCAAGAGCAATTCCACTTTATTCTATTTGCAAATAAAAGCTGTCAACGTATAGAGAAACAAGATGCATACATCTGAATTCCACTAAACTTACAAACCAAAACATAACTAATGCATGCCATTGAATATAAATTTCCAGGAGCATGATAGTATTTATTTCCACTTAGCACTTAGCTATTTTCAAGAGCTATGTTATACACACAACCATTACTTCTGAGAAGTCTACAAAAGCTCTGAATCTCAATATGTTACACATTTATTTAAAAAGCCATAAATACAAGGCTGGAAAGGTATTTGAGAAGTTACCTAATCAGCCTTCTACTCAGAGTTGATACTTTGCAAGTATAAGCTACTCTCATAAATCAGCCATTCTGTAAATTAAGATTTTGGTTGGCACCAGACATTTCTTTGCCAAAAACATGCAAAATAAGGTGCAGTATTTGCTTGATAAAAAAAGAGAAAACAACAACAAAAAGAGAGATGACTCCTACGTTCTATGTTTTCCAATCAGATAGCCTCTTTACATAGTCATTTTTGAAATCAGACAACACATACGCGAACTAAAAATCTATTGCACAAGCTTACAGCTGTGGCACAATAAATCTGCTCAAAGTGTTGCCTTATTATGCAAACAATTAAAATGCTAAATTTTTTCCCCTTTGTTTAGGAATGAAAATTGAATTTATTTTTCAAGGGAATATTTTTCAATGAAGTGATGTTAACTATACTGCTCCTGGTATCAATTACCATATGTAAGCTCCTCTGCCCCAGCAGTTAATTCAACAATATATGGCCACAGGTTGTGGGTTGCAGAGAAATACAGGATCGTAGGATAACTCAGGTTGGAAAAGACCACAGGAGATCTCTAGTCCAGTCTCCTGCTGAATGCAGGTTCAACTACGCAGTCTGATGAAGTTGCTCAAGGTTCTATTCAGGCAAGTTTTGAAAACCTCCAAGCATGGAGACTGCACAACCATCCAACAGTTTTTAAATCAAGTGATTCTGAAAGGCAGCTCGTAAAGATTATGCTCCTCAAAAATGGAACTGCTTGCCCTAGTAGGTTAGACAACATTAAAGTAATGAGAAGTATACTGTCTCACCACCTTTCTTCCTTTCCCCCCACTTGCAGGCTCAGAGTTTGCAGGTGATCCACTAGAGAAGGAACATCCTATTTCAAGACACAGAGATTACTCTGCTATCAACACAGGAGATATTTTAGAACAGTTGGTGTCATCCTGAACATTTTTCAATCCATTAAACTGATTTTTCCAGATAATTCAGGCAGATGGACTGATTGGTTTTGGCACTTACTGCAAAGATCTCAGACAATTGAAGGAACCTTGACAGAAGGTCAGTTTAGCACACAACAGTAACTAAATCATCCTTTAAATTAACTCAAACTTCCTGATGTACCTGAAAATGAGTATAAGCAGACATTTATCTTCAACATTGCAAACAGCTTCTTGACACCTATTTAAAGTGGCACACAGCATAACTAGAAAAAGATGCACAAAAGAGAAACAATAACACTCAGCACTAGAACTACTGCTTATTAAAGAGTCTATGGATGGACAGTTAAGAAAAGAGGAGTGAAAAGAGTAGAGAAAATAACAATCCATGGAAAGAGAGAATGGCAATACAGAACAATGTACTATTCGCAGAGGAAATAATTATTTTTTCTTTGTCCACAGACAAGGACTAAAAGGTGGTAAATGAAGCTAGCCCACAGGTTAGAAAAGTCAAAGGCCAACTTACTTTCTATATGTTTATTCAACTGTTTCTACAGGAAGGCAAAAGTTTAAAAAATACTTTAAAAATGAGATAAATTCATAGGAGATTGATAATGAAGTATGGCAGACAGCAATGGAAGTGTTAGCCACGCACAGCCGGGGAAGCTGCCACCCAGGTGAAGTCAGAGGAGCTGTTACTCTGTGCACACACATTCCCTGCATGTGGCCTAGCCATTGCTCATTACAGGCTATGGAACGAGATAGGGATTTGGTTTGACTTTTTTAACACTGTTTTAACTGCTACTACGAACACCGAAGTGTCTCACAGCACTACCTGTCTCACAAATACCACAACAAATATTTTTACTTTACCCATCTTCCTACAAGTCTTACAATTTTATAAACATTCTAAGTCAATGAAATACTTCTTTCATTAAAGCTGTTAAGCAGCTGGGGGGTGGGGGGGTAGAGGGGGGAGTGTGACAAGGTAGCAAATTATTTTTATCTGACAGCAATCACAGTAGAATAGCACTTGAAGCTATGAATAGCTCACAAGACAAAACTTTAAATCTGTGTTGATCAAAGATCAGAAGAATATTTACAACTGTCCTGTTTATTTACACAAACACAGCATAAAAGCATTTGTCCTCAAAGCTGACCTAGAAATTTCCAGGTAAAAAATAATTTTGCTAGACAACCATAAAGGGAAATGAGAATAAACTTTATGACAGAAACTTGTCAACTTGTAACCATATTAACTTTGAAAGCTCAGAGTTTCCACTGAGGTAAGGCAAAGCACAAAGCTAAGACTAACACGTTCTTTCTGCTTAGAGAATAAGTTCTGCAAAACCCACATTCATTACACCACTTCTCTCCAACCACGTCCTGCAGCACTTAACTGCCTCGCTGTTACCCAGCCTTTTACCCTGCCTCTTTAGCTGCACTTCCCCAACACCAAACTGTGACACCCTCTCTCCTACAGCAGCCCCCTTACCCACCTCATCTCACTGTGAGATGTAATACACTAACTCCTCACTTCCAGGTTCATAAAGATCTCAGTTTCTGTGACCCCATGGCTTTCCTCAGATCTGTTCACACAGACGGAGCAGACAAGATTGCAGTGTTTAAACTATATAATGGTGAGCAGCAATTTTACTCTTGTCTCTGCTTCAAGAGAGGGACAAAGCCACATGATTATATTAGCAGATGTACAAACAGTTCTCATCAATACTCTTGGTCTAGCTTTGCTGAGCAAAGCACAAGTTCTTGCAGCTTTCCTACTTACTGTGGGAATACCCCAGCTCAGAACTGCACACAAAACAGTGCAAATGGTTACTAGGACCCAGTCTCCTACATTTGCCAACATGCAGAGTGCAAAAGAGGGCAGTGTTCATGTGCACACCCTGCAGAGACCCTGAGTAGAAACGTCTACCAATGTCCCTTAAAATTTTAATTTACATTATTCCCTAACAACATCCTTTCCTAGATCACCTCCAAGATCTCTGACTCTCAAACTTCACAGAGCTATACTTCAAACAGAACGAAAACTCCTGCATAGACAAAGAAATAATGTTATTCAGCAGCTCAAACTTTATCACCCCAGCTCCAAAAAACCTAACAGGATCATCTGGTTATGCCATAATAAAGCCGTAGCTAGACGGTCAAACTACATATAGAGAGAACACATGTACATATTAGCTCTGACAACATCATAGTACTCCGAATTTGGTGGCTATTGAAATATTTTTTTGAAGCAATCAACACTAAGTATTACAGAATAAGAGCTTTTGCAGAAGTGTTAAAGTAGACTTCTACAGAACACATTGATTTCAAATTTTCCAAGACACTCAAAATTTATATTTCTGGATATTTAAAATCCCTAAATTACTCCATAGACTTTATAATTCAAACATTATTCGTAAAAATGTTTTTTAAAAAGACAGGTAAGACAACACTTTCTCCATGTCTGATCCAAAAAGGCACTGCAGTAATGACCACTATAAATTACTAAGTATCTGAAAAATCAGAATAAAAAGGTTCTAACATAACCAGAGTGCCTGAAGGTATTTGGCAAAGATCACTGCCAAGTAAACATATGGTTTCTACAGAACTGATGCTGCTTTAAGAACTTGCATAAAACTCCAAAAACATTTTAAGCACAAAAGCACCAACCTTCCTGGAGCAGTCATTCAGTTGCCTCTTACATTGC